GAAAATATTAATAAAATGCAATATTTGGGGATGCTGAACATAAACAAGGTAGCTGTCATTTTGTTATCTTCCCTATCAATCTGACTAATACTGTTTTTACACTTATGAATTCCTTAGAACACCTGTTTTTCTGGATGAAGAAAATCTTTGACTTTCAGTGACAAATGTAAATTATCTCCACCATTTTAAGTTGAGTTGAGGAAAAATAATAGTGCCTAGGAAGTGACTAAATATGACTTATGGTGAAGTGCCCTTTTTTGGCCAAGCCAAGTATGAAAACACTTATTCGACACATTCTTTATTCTTTGGTCAGGCCATGCTTCTGTTCGATGGCTCGATTCACAGAAGCAGTTTTACCCTTATTTTTCATCATAACCTCTGACTTTTTCTTAAGTAGTTGTTTTAGTTCAAGTTTGTTGCATTGGTAATAACAGAATATCAACTTGCCAGTACTTCAATTAGAAATCCATCAGCTCTTTATCCCTTTTCCCATAATTATTTCCTCCTTGCATCTATTTCTTTTCTCTGAGTCTTTTCAGTTCCTTAGGCTGACAACTTTTTTCCTTCACACCCACAACATGCTTAGGGGAGCCTGTTGACAATTCATTAAAAATACATCTAGAACCTCACTTCTCAACACCCCAACTGCTAACCTAGTCCAAGCCATGGTTATCTCTTTCTAGATTATAGCTTTACTAACTGGTATCTCTGTCCCTATTGTTTCCTCTCCTCTAGTTTTATTTTCAGCACATAGGCTTGAGTGGTCTTGTTAAAACTAAGTCAGGTAATAGCACTCCTCTGCTCAAAGCACTCAAATGACTTCCCTTCCTACTCAAATGGAGCAGATGCCCTACACAGCTGACTGACTCTGGTAATGCTCTCACCTCTTCTTTGACTACTGTGCTCTTTACTCATTCTGTTCCAGACACACTGACACCTACTGTCCCTTGTTAGCCTTCAGAGTTTCTACCTTTATGTTTCTGACCTGATGCCCAGGGCTTTCTGACCTCTTCCTTGCATATGTGGCCATTAATAACCTGGCTCTAGGCCACTGGGCATGAAATGATACCCTCAAGCAAATACCTGTTTTAGAATTCTGGTTACTCCTCCTTTTGAACTCTCCCCTGCCCCACCTCCACCTCCTTTTTTTCTTCTTCTTTTTTGCAAGGACTTCCTTTTATCTCTTGCCATTTCAGCCATTCATTTAAAATGTTATATTTTATTTAGCATTTTAGATGTCTTCTTTGCCGGCCATTTTGCCACAATGCAAAGTCTGATGAATTGTTATTAACTAGTGAAGTGAGATCATTGATTTCTCAGAATAATTTTGTTTCTTTCTTGAATTAAAGGATGGAAGACTCCAGACAGGGGACCACATCTTGAAGATTGGTGGCACCAATGTGCAGGGGATGACCAGTGAGCAAGTTGCACAAGTGCTGAGAAACTGTGGGAATTCAGTTAGGATGCTAGTTGCAAGAGACCCAATAGGTGAAATTTCTGTAACCCCTCCAACCCCTGCAGCCTTACCTGTTGCCTTGCCTGCTGTGCCCAACAGGAGCCCTAGTTCTGTGAGTACATAAATTATTCTTTCATCATAAATCAAGTATTGGGTGTGATACATGGTAAGAGTAGAAACACCTACTTGAAATGCCACACTGGTGTGAGTAGTGTCACAGTGGCCACCAGTGAAGCAGCAGAAGAGCCTAATTTGGAGACATTGACAAGTTTGATTTTCATTTTTGCTGTTTCGCAGGGTTAAGTCATTCCACTTCTCTGAGCCTCAGCTACTCATCTGTCAATTGGAGGGAAATAATTCTTGCCATTTCTATTTCGTTAAGTTGATGAGGAGACATCCAGATGGTGGAACGGAAACTAAAAACTGATCAATGTATGACAGTTGTCACTGATAGTAACAAAATGGCCAAAGAGAGTAAACATTCATAATAATATTTATTATGATTAGTAATAATCATAGTGATATAATAACAATCATTATTATTAATTGTTGTCAAGTACCTGGTATTGTTCAGGTCATCTGAATTCTTCCTAAGAATTCTAAAAGATATAGGCTTTGAATCAACAAGGTGATTAGGCAAAAGGAAAGAACTGGTTTTTTTAAAAGAAGGGTCCCGGATTATTGTGATTATTGTGAGAAGGAGATTGGAAAGTCACTGAAGGGCCATTCATATGAAGGGCCATTTGGTGTCTTCTGTAAAGTATTTGCCTTTGTAGTGAGGGAGCAGTGTAACTGTGATAAGTGAGAATTTGATGCAATCAGTTGTTTGCTTTCTACTCTTAATGTTTTGAACTATGTTTTTAGATATCTTACTCTTTTATAGAAATAAATTAGAAGACAAATAATGAAAATAAGTTTTAGGTGAATATTTTTTGCCTGCAATGATTATTACAGTAATTAGCCATTAAATTTTTTTTTTTTATTGATTTTAAAGGCAAAGGGAGAGGGAGAGAGAGAGATAAAAACATCAATGATAAAAGAGAATCATTGATCAGCTGCCTCCTTTACCCCCCTATTGGGAATCAAGCCCGAATCCCAGGCATGTGCCCTGATCAGGAATTAAACTGTGACCTCCTGATTCATAGGTTGACTCAAACACTGAGCCATCGGGGCAGGGCACAAAAATTACTCTTTTTTGTTTCCAAAATTTTTGTTTCTAAAATTTTCTTTAGATTTAGTTCTTTTACATAGAAATTAATCCTGAATTTTTTCAAGTTGGCTGTATTAGTTTTCTATTGTGTAATAAGTAATCACAAACCTAGTGGCTTGAGACAATATCCTTTGTTTGTTCACGGTTCTGTAGGTCAGAAATCTGCATGGGCTTGGCTGAGCTGTCTGCTTAGATTCTTATAAGGCCAAAATCAGGGTGTGGGCTGGCTGGGCTCTAAATTTGGATGCTCTGGGACAATCCATTTCCAAACCTATTTAGATTGCTGACACAATGCATTCTTTGCAGTTGTAGGACTGAGGTCTCTCTTTGCTGGCTGTCAGCTGAGGGCATCTTTCAGCTCCTTAAGGCCCCCTGTATTCCTTCTCACATGTCCCACTCCATCTTCAAACCACAAGTCCAGTCTTTATACTTCAAATCTTTTTGCTTCCATCATCAGGAGAAAACTCCAATTTGAAGGGTGCTTGATTAGATTAGGCTCACCTGGATAATCTCCCTTTTGCCTTGTAATGTGACAAACACAGAAATAGCATCAGGGGTCAAAAGTCAAGACCATCTTAAAATTCTGTCTACCTTAAGTGCTAAAAAAATCCTTGACAAACCATGCACAAATTTATTAGAATGCAGTTATGTGACTAAACATTATGTATAATTATAATTTTTTTTCTTTTCAGGACAATTCTCTTTATGAAACTTATAATGTTGAGCTCATTAAAAAAGATGGGCAGAGTCTTGGGATTAGAATTGTTGGCTATGTTGGAAGTGCTCATACAGGTAAAGGAATCGTTTCAATTTTACATTTGGAAATAGTTGTAAAGGATATTAAGGTTTCTAGACAGCGAAATTAAATACCTGCAAATTTTAATTTAAACTTTGAATAATAAAACTGTTACCAGACAGGAACCAGACCCGGAATGGGTCTGCCTTAGACTGGCCAGTAGTGTGAAGGTTCTTATTTAAAAAAATATATTTTATTGATTCTTCACAGAGAAGGGAGAGGGATAGAGAGTTAGAAACATTGGTGAGAGAGAAACATGAAGCAGCTTTCTCCTGCACAACTCTACTAGGTATGTGCCCACCACCAAGGTACTTGCCCTTGACCGGAATTGAACCTGGGACCCTTAAATCCTCAGGCCAACACTCTATTCACTGAGCCAAACCGACTAGGGCATGTGGGGGTTCTTGACTTTGTGCAGGCACAAGTCCAGGTAATTTTGATAGTAAATTTATTAAAACTGGGGACAGTGAAACCAGGAAAGGCCTAGAATAGGAGAAGCAACAGGAGAGAGCCCAGGTGGGGCTGCTTTGGTTCTCTAGAAATGTTAGAGGGGGAAAAGTGAGCCATGACAGGGCTGCTGTTAACTGACTGTAAAGTCAGAGAAAATGGGGCCTTGGAGACAGGTTCAGAGGGCTAGTCTGGGGTGAGCTGCCACTGCCCTTTGCTATCCTCATTGCATGTCTCAGGGGTGGGGGTGAGTGTGGGACCCTTAAAGTGTAGGAGAAAGAAAATTCACTTGAAGCATCGATGGGCTACCTCTTGCATGCCCCCTTCCAGGGATCAATCCCTCAACCCAGGCACGTACTCTGACCAGTAGTTGAACCAACAACCTCTTAGTGTACTGGCCAAGGCTAAGATATATATATATATATATATATATTTTTTTTAATTATAAAGGCACTGTTTATTAAAAGACATTTCATTTTCAAAATTGAAAATTTTAGCATCATATCAGATGCTAAAGTGTGTACATTTTTGGGGATACCCTGTATACATGGGAGCAATAGAGAAATAAAAGAATAAAAAAAGTTAAAAAAAATAGTGAAACCTATCAAGAACATATTTATAGGTGGTTTAATTTCTAATTTTAATTATAGATCCACATTTAGAGTTATTTAAGAATTAGCATCTCACCAATTAGTGAAAGGCCTACCATCCAATTTCTAAAAGGAAATAGCATTTGAGAATTTCTACATCATATTGCTCTACTTCTAAAGAAAAGGTGTGTTATAGGAAAAAACTTTTACCTTGCTTTTACATTCTATAGAGTCTGATCAGTTTATTTCAACTAAAGTCTGGTAATAAACACTTGATATATATATATTTTTAATATATCTTATTGATTTTTTTTTTTGCCCCTCTCCTTCCCTCCCACACATCCCCTCCCTCCCCAGAGTTTTGTGTCCATTGGTTGTACTTATATGCATGTATAAAAGTCCTTCGGTTGATCTATTATCTCTCCCAGATCTTCCTCCCCTCCCCGCTGTAATTTGACAGTCTACTTGTTGATATACTGTCTCTATATCTATAAGATAGATATATTTTGAATGGTGTAACTCTTAGATATTATGACATTTTATATGCAATAAAGTAAAATGACTACTGCATATATTTCATATTATAAATGTCCAAAAGTATTACTATTATGTCTAATTACTAAAAAAATTAAGATAAAACAAATACTTTAATTAGGATTCTTTTTCTTTCATATAAAAGGAATACATTGTAAGAATAAATACATAGCTGGGTAGCTTAACTGGTTAGAGTTTGTCGCGATATGCCAAAGTTGCAGGTTTGATCCCCAAAAGAATAAATACACTGCCTAAGTCTCTCTGAGTAATAATACTCAGGGGTAGCCATTCAGGTCATGTGCCCAGGTTTCAGTCTCAATGCCCTGCAGGAGGTTTCTCTCTCTCCCTCTCCCTTCCTCTTTCTCTAAAATCAATGAAAAAAATATTTTAAAATAATTGTAATAATGCTCCCTCAATTCCTACATGGAATTGAGGTAACCTTCATGGTAAGACTTACTCTATTATTAAAGGAAGTTATTAGAGTAAGGAAAAATAAACCTCTTACAAATATCTTCTAGTAACATGAAAATTCAGAATTATGAAATGTTCTAGTTTTTTTTTTAAATAGCAAGATTAGAAAGTTAATTTTTCTAAAGTTATTATTTTATATATGTCTAGCAGGTGGAAATATTAGAAGTGCTAATGTATTCAAAGTCCTGAATGAAATCCATGTCAAACCACCTTGTGCTATTTTAGCCTAATAACAATTTTCAAAACTAGCTTTTTCTAAATGCCACCTTTTTAACGTTCAGCATTTAAATGAGTTTTAAAAGAGCAAAGTATCGCTTGTATAATAATGTTGCAAAAAAACTGTCAGTAGCTCTCACTATGCTGTCTGGTTAGAGAAATCATGGATTGGTTCCTAAATTTTTGGCTTATGAACCTTACTATCTGAAGTTTTCTTGTAAATCTCACACTAAATATGCAGAATAAAATGAAAGTGAATAACAGATAGGGAACTGATAAAATTTAATGGTTATATTCCTGAGTAAAGAAAAGATCATTTGACTTATTTACCCTCAAAATAAGTTTTTGGGATTGGAGGGGATGGGCAGTGGTGAATCAAAAAACTAGAACAATCAAAAAACTAGAACATTTAAAAACTCAATATGGTTTTTATCATGTAGTCTTTTCAAAATAATTCTCTTTATTCCATTCATTGGAACTTTTGAGCAGTTACTTTGCTTAATTTTGGAGGAGGTAGAATAATGAACATAAGAAAAGTCTTGTCAGGGAGACAAACATGTAAATAACTCAATTATTCAATGATAAGTAAAATACATGTTTTAATAGAGATGCAAGCAAGCTCTTAAGGTGAATAAGAGTCAATTGGACAGAAGGCAATTGAGAATTTACAAAGAAAGGCTTTTTGTTAAACATCAAAAAGGAGAAGAATTTGAAACAAGGGGTGAGGTTGGCAAGAAGAAAATACTGAAATGAGAAAAAGTCTAAAATTAAGAAAATATTTGGTGTTTTGGTGGAATATCAAGAGTCTTGTGTGTCTGGAGATTTGTCTTGTTGGAAGGATAAAGTAAAATAAAGTTTAAAAAAAGAAACTTGGGGCAGATTATGGAGGTCCTTGAATGTGATTCTGTGGAATTTACTTTTGTTATGTAGGTGATAGAAATCCGTTGTGCTTATTTTTATTTATTTAATTAATTAATTAAATATATGTTTTTATTGATTTCAGAGAGGAAGAGAGAGATTTAAATGTCAATGATGATAGAGAATCATTGATTGGCTTGCCTCCTGCACACACCGCCTACTGGGGATTGCCCACAACCCAGGCATGTGCCCTGACTGGGAATCGAACCTGGGACCCTTCAGTTCACAGGCTGATGTTCTATCCACTGAGCCAAACCAGATAGGGCTGTGCTTATTTTTGTTCTGCAGACAATATTTTAAATTTATTTGATATTAAAAAATAAAAATATAAAGTCATCCAGAGCTATGGGTTTTCTTTTTCCAATTTCCCTTCAAGTCCTTGCCTGTAGGTATGCATATTTTTTACATAGCTGTAATTTTTATATAGCCATATTTTCTGGTTAAATGTTTTATTTTATAATGTGAGGATTATTTCATGTTGCTGAGATTATTCTAGTTTTTGAAGACTGTGTGTGCCTCTCTTTTTTCTGTGTTTGGGGAAACTAACATGAACAGTGAACTACATACAGTCAGGAAGACCTGGTAGTAGATTCCTGTCATAGTACAGGTGAAAATGTTGAAGGCCATGCCAAGTCTATTGAGAAGTGTGACAGACGAAGAGAAGAGGGCTCTTTGAATTCCAACTTATATTGGAGAGCATCTTCTCAAGGTTCCCTTACTATTTTTTTTCTAAAAATAGTCATCAGTCAAATAATTTCAAATTCAGTTTACTTGTGACAGTGACAGTTTGAAATAATCCATCAGTTTCTCTGCTTGTGTTCAAAATAGTATTTATCAAGCCTTCTGTCAGCCCTTTAGCTAATTAACCTCTTGATATGAATCTTGCAATCAAGGTCTAATTAGAGCTTTCACCCCTTTTCCATATGTTTTGTGCACCTTAGGGGAAGCTTCTGGGATTTATGTGAAAAGTGTAATACCTGGCAGTGCTGCATACCACAATGGACAAATTCAAGTGAATGACAAAATAGTTGCTGTAAGTAACTGCTCTCTGTTTAGAATTGAATCAAGTTGGGGGGAAAAGTTATCTTCATTTAATATAGAGGCTTGATGCATGAAGATTTGTGCAAGAGTGGGCTTTCCTTCCCCTGGTTGCTGGCATCACCTTGCCTTGGCCAGAGCTGCCTTTCTGCCTTCCCGCACTGCCCAGAGGCCAAGAGCAGCTGCGGTGGTGAGGAACACCTGCATCCCACCCTGCCCCAGCCACTCAGCGACTGCATATGCAAATTAAATTGCATACTCATTCTTTATTGGCTGGTGGGCATCATGAAGGTATGGTCCATTAGCATGTTACTCTTTTATTAGTGTAGATGAGAAAGGAATGGCTTAATATAGTCCCATAATACTTAAAAAAAACCAACCCACTAAGTTTGTTAGTACAATAAAATCTCATTAATTTGAACTCGTATGGGTCCTAAATTTTCTTTTTCTTTTTTAAATGTCTGTGGAGAGTCACTAACTACAATGGTAAGAAAAATATAATATATACAGGTATGTATTTAATAATAGCTATAGTTTATTTGGCATTTTTACATGCAGTCTCAGACAACCACAGGAAGTAGAAATTATGTCCATTTTTCAGAGGAAAGAAGTTTTCAGAGTATCTATGTTAATAATACATTGCTGGGGTTGGCATTCCAATATAAGGCTCTCAACTTCAAATCCTGTGCTTTAACCATCACATTATAGCAGTTCTGCCAAGCATCAGATTTTCATAGTTTCATAAAATAAAACAAAAGTTCATAGCTGGTTATATATTTGCAGGTAAATATCTGCTACCTAATTTACCTGAATATTTTTATGGCACTTGGAATTTTGAATAGCATCAGAAAATGAGACCCTTTACTTCTTAGGCTTAAGTTAAAATGTGTGATTTTAGGGCTACGAGTTTGGATTTGCTTTTTTGTGTCTCAGGAAGTTTGTCAGCGTATTTTATACTAATTCTTCATCCTTATTTGAACATTTTCTTAGGTCTAATAACAAATTATTTGGGGAATAAAATGAATTGCCTAATTTGATTCTACCTTGCCAGAATTTAGAATAGGAGCTAACTTGAAACCTGTTTAATGTCGTTTAGGTCGATGGTGTGAATATTCAGGGTTTTGCCAACCAGGATGTTGTCGAAGTATTACGTAATGCCGGGCAAGTGGTACACCTAACCCTCGTTCGAAGGAAGGCATCCTCACCAGCTTCGCCACTTGTGGAACAGCCTCCCCTGGTTGAACAGCCTTCAGACACAGGTAAAGGATTCCACTGTCCTTTCCCCACCTTGTAATACGGGTTGGAAGAATAACTCACTGATGGAAGTTGCTCTGTGAGTCTGGGAAGGAAAAACGGCCCACCTTGTGTAATGCAGAGATGGAGAAATTAATCAGCTCATCTGTGTACCGAATAGCTTCCTTCGCCTATTATAACGTGCCAGGCCAAATGTCAGAGCATTAAGCTCTGAAAGCTTCTCTAAATGGAGATGGGAATTATTTTCCCAAAAATCTCCCAAATTTCAATCATTACTTATTTGAATAATAAAGCTTTGGCACCTTTTGTTCAGGAGCTCTCATTTGGCTAGTGCTTTGACATTTTCCAAATTTCAGATTTCATTTTACTTCCAGGTATATATTTGATTCTAATGTTTCTCAATTTACCTTTTGAAATATAGCAAGAGAAAATAAAACCTGAATTTCTCTCAAGAATATTTTTATGTGTATAAAAATATTTATTGTTTTGTAGATTATATCAGTAGTAAACTTTCACTAGGGTACAAAAACAATTGTATGCATGTCAATTTTTAATTATCAACTTATAAATGTATAGATCAACAAAATTTGACAATCATGGGGACATATATTCAATTTAAAATGAATGACTAGATATAGAACTAGTGAGCAAGAAATAATTCTACCAGGAGATGAATACAATTGTTTTTTCCCTTCCTCTGAAGATATAATAAGCCTGGAAACCTTTGCTTTCAACTGATACTGGTTTGTATTAAATTGAAACTTTTTAAGTTTTATGCAATAGTGGAAATTTTGCTGCTGAAAGATAGATGCCCTGTCAGCTTCATTGTATGTATGAAATTTAAAATGGCTCAAATAGTACAAATTGTACAAATGCTATATTGACCTTAAAAGGTTTACATAAATATTTATATCAATATAATGATTTTAATAGCTCTGATCTACCCCTGGCTTCAGTTCACTATATCAACTAATGTATACCATTTGTGAATTAGCAATTCTCTCTTTTTTCAAATATGTTTTTATTGATTTCAGAGAGGAAGAGAGAGGGAGAGATAGAAACATCAATAAGAGAGAATCATTAATCAGCTGCCTCCTGCACACTATCCACTGAGCCAAACTGGCAAGGGCAAATTAGCAATTCTTTACTGGGCATGCCTACATTTTAAATTTGTTTTGACTCTAAATCTACACATATCCCTCCATAGTTTGGGTGTCCTTACTGTGATTTTCACTAGCACCCTTTGAAGAGCACTCTGTTGTATATAGAATTTATCACACTCCATTGTAATCACTTGTTATCGTATGGCCACTCTGTAAAGTAGGGGAGTGGTTATACCCTTGCCCTCTGGCCCATGTAACAAGGCTTGGTGTACCTTCCACACAGCATTTAAGTCTGTTTTACTGAAATAAACTATTCAGCTTCTAGCTCTTGCACAACAGCTCCCTCTGGCATTCTGAATCTTACTTTTTTTCTTGTAAATCCTACTTTTTGTATACCTTATATTGGGGTGGGCAAAAATAGGTTTACAGTTATGATTATGCAAAACAGTTTATTCTTATTTTATTATTTATTAATTATTATATTATTTATCTTTTTCTTATTGTTATTATTTCATATCCTTACTTATGATTTACTAGAGGCCCGGTGCATGCAATTTGTGCACAGGTGTGTTCCCTAGGCCTGGCCGGTGATTAAAGCGCAAGGGCCTGGCATGGAAGAGCAGACCCCAGCAGATGTGTGGGCCCTGGGAAGCACCTTGGTCCCTGGGCCCCCACATGCCCCATCACCTGAGTCATCATGCCCCACCCAGGCTTGGGAGCCAGGCAGTGAACCTGCCTCTCCACGGCCTCCCCTGACACCACTGCTGGTCACCATCTGCAGGGCAATTGGTGGGGCAATTGGGCCCTGCTTGCACCCACCTTGGCCTGGTGCCGCTCGCTCACTTGCTCCACCATCCTGCCACAGTCCTGCTCTCATCAGGGCCCATCAGGGCTGGCAGCACCTCCACTGCTGCACGCTACCAGCACCACGTGGCTGCCCTGCCCCGCCCTCCTTCCCCCCAATGGTCCACGCTTCCCCCTGGTAATCGGCACATGTCATAGCGAGCAGTCGAACTCCTGGTTGAGGGAACAATTTGAATATTAGGGTTTTATTATATAGGATCTTATAGATAATGATGGCTGCTAATTTAACCTACTTTTGCCCACCCCTGTGTAGTTGTTTGTGTAACTATTTTTTGTATGTTTGGTAGCACACAATTACATCATCATACTGCTTTGTACTATAAACTTTGGTGTCTAACCATTCTCTCCAGTGACACTAGGATCTTCTGGCTGGCATTCCTTTCTCTAGTCTGGGCTGTGTATTTAGTTTGTACCAATGGATTTATGATTTTTAAAAATCCTATGTGTAGTTTAAAATCTCATGTGAAGATCAAAGGAACTTTTAACTGGTTATCTTTTTCAATCATTTATTATACAAATTGCAAACAGAGAAACTGAAAAATAATACATGAAATACCCACTATTTAGATTCAGCAGTTATCATTTTGCCGTATTTGCTTCATCTCTGTATGTTTTTCCCCTGAGCCATTTCAGAATGAGTAGTAGACATGATGACACTTTAGCCCTACATACTTCAAACTATCACTTTACAATGAAGGATATTTTTTAGGTAAACATAATGTTATCACACCAAAGAAAATGTATAGTAATTCCCTAACATCAGATACCCAACACATACTTAAATTTTTCCAATTGCCCCTAAATATATTTTGTAGCTTCTCTCATTCTTTCCACCAAAAAAATCTCATGAAATCATGAATGAATAATGCATTGCACTTATTGATGTGTTATGTTTCTTTGGTTTCTTAATTTTAAAAAATCCCCCACCCCTCTTCTTGCTTTGTCATTGACCTTTGCCTTGCTTTTCTTTTTCCACTGCCTAGTTTCTTACTCTTTTCAAAACTACCAGCATATTTATTTTTTAAGGAATTGATTGGTTATCACACATGAAATT